GGGGCTCCTGGCCTTACTAGTAGGAACAAGAAGGCTACTAGGAGCAAAGGGAATCACTGACGGTCACTGACTCGGTCTTTTTCTCTGCCTCGAAACGCTTCCAGCGGCTTGGCGCACACATCAGGCACCTGCAAAGTCCAACGGTTTCTGGCGTGGCAAAGTTCTCTTTCATATGGTTTCGTGTTTACATCACATCTTGCCATTCAAACATCATCTCAAACACACATCATAGACATTCATAAGCAGTTTAACAAACAATTCATCGAATCTAATCTAATCATTTCAGAAACGACCTCCACTGTCACAACAGGACAACACTTTGGCACAGCGACGCAACACTTTGTTCCGTCCGCGTGACTAGTGGCACTTTGGCCACGCCAGGCCCGGACCGACAGTTGGACTCTGTCAAACCCACCCTGAAGTGGCAAACGGTGGCCCGGGCGGCGTGGGTAGACGCTGGGCCAGGTTGGGATCCAGATCTCTCTCCGAGCCCGGTCCAATGGTACAGGTCTCCCTGAGTTCCCAACCTTCGCTGAGCCCATCGGTGAGTTCGAAACAGTTCGTTTCGGTGCAAAGACACGAATGGAAGGAACGTTACAAGAAATTGAGCCTTTCTTTCGTGCCTTACTAGTGGCAAGAGGACGCTACTAGTAACAAAGGGCATCGCTACTAGGAACCCGGGCATCGCTACTAGGAGCAAGGACGCTATTTGTAGCCATCTATCTACTCTTTTGGACCCCTCTATCTCTTCAACAATTCGTGGTAGGCAAATGCCTAAACGTGTTGACCGCTGTCTTTGGTCATCGTTCAGGTCAGCTGGTCAACTGTTTCCTTTTCATTTCCAACGACCACCATCTGCCCAAAACATCCCAAAACCACTACTTCCAGCTTCACACGGTACGTCACACACACAACTTCCAGCTTCTGTACGTGATAATTCTGGGAGCTTTGCCTGCACCATCTTCCATTCGATCATAAACTACTATTAGCAAGGTACCTTACTACTAGTAGCAAGAAACTACTAGTAACAAGGGACCGACATCTTTCATGTCCAAGCGACCCATCAGCTCCAGCTTCCTGAGCGCCACGAAGCCGCGGTCACTGGGCGGCTCCCGCAAGGGGTTCTCGATGTCGTAGCCCCAACGGGTCAGTCCGCATCCTTGGTGTGACCGGCGTCCTCCGTGGCAGACGGAAGACGCCGAAGCTGTGTCGGAAGTCCAATGGTCAACGTCCTTGTGCAAAGATCGCTGTCGTTCATATGTTTCGGTGTCGTGCCACCCTGCTACAAAAGGGTGAGAGATCAAAAAACATATTTAACGTATCAATAAAAACATATTCTACACGCATCAATAAAAAATACTGGCTCAAAAAATATTCCAAATAGCAGTAGCAGTAAGAGTAGCAACAGTACTATAATAGCAGCAGTATCGTAGTGGTAGTCGTAGTGTTTCGTGGCAGGTGCAGTCCGTTGTGGACCTTGCAATGCACATTTCGTGGCAGGTGCAGAACTTTGTGGATGTTGAAGTGCAGAGTTGGTGGCCAGTGGCAGGCGCAGGACTTTTTGTGGACCTTGAAGTGCAGATTTCGTGGCAGGTGTAGTACTTTGTGGCCCTTGGAGGATTTCGTGGCAGGTGCAGGACTTTGTGGATGTGGAAGTGCAGAGTTGGTGGCCGGTGCAAGACTTTGTGGGCCTTGGAGTGCAGATTTCGTGGCAGGCGCAGGACTTTTTGATGTGGAAGTGTAGAGTTGGTGGCAGGTGCAGGACTTTGTGGGCCTTGGAGTGCAGATTTGGTGGCAGGCGCAAGACTTTGTGGACCTTGAAGTGCAGATTTCGTGGCAGGTGTAGTACTTTGTGGATGTTGAACTGCAGATAGACAGATAGAAAGATAAATGGATCGATAGATACAGACATAGATAGATAGATAGATAGAGAGAGAGATAGAGGAGGCATAATTGCTTGGTTAGAAAATTTTGCACCGGGGAGTTCACCTTCAAATATTGATTTCGTGGCAGGCGCGGGTGTCGGGGATGAAGTGCAGATTTCGTGGCGCGGGGGGGGTTGGGCGCAGCCCCCCCCGAGCAGCACACCAGATCCAAAGGTGAGCAGCTCGTGCTTGCTTGCTTGCTTCCTTACTTGCTTGCTTGCTTCCTTGTTTGGTTTCGTCTCTGCAAAGCGAACAAAAGGAAAAGCAAACGCAAAAAAAAGAAAGGAGAGCAGCTGCGAAGAAAGAAAGAAAGAAAGAAAGAAAGAAAGAAAGAAAGAAAGAAAGAAAGAAAGAAAGAAAGAAAGACGAAGGACCAGAGGACCAAGGGACTAGCGGACCAGTTGACCAGCGGACTGCAGGGGACCAGCGGACCAGGACCAGCGGACCAGAGGACCAGCGGACCAGAGGACCAGAGGACCAGGGGACCAGCGGACCAGAGGACCAGGGGACCAGCGGACCAGAGGACCGGCCACCTACACGACTGGGAATTCCAAGGGATTTCATCGCACAACGAATATTTTTTTATTGATTCAGTAAATATTTACTTTTTGATTCGGTGAGTATTTTTGTTCTTGATTCGATAAATATTACTTTTTTGATACCTATGCCGCTACAAAATAACAAACAAACATATTCTGATTATTATGGTTATATATATAGAATACGATACGAGTACTATGCATACACCACACACCCAAAGGTCTGCCCAATTGGAAGCGTCAAAGTTCCCAGGTGTTGAGCCAAGCGCGCTGCCAAGAACAAGGCACAAAGCCGCTGCTCCATGTTCTCCGGCGCCGCGGACTCCAACCACCGCGCCGCTTCGGTGCTCGCGGTGCAGAGGTCCCTCTCTGAGAAGGCGACGATCGGCGCGTTCCGCAGGCAGAGGAGGCACCTTGAGAGCCGGATTTGTGTGGCCTTCCATGCAATGTGCAAAGAGGGAGGTAAGAAGAGATGGGAACATGTGGCGCGAACGAAAGGAGAAGAGAGCACCGCACCGCAGCTGGCAACACCAAGGCACAACCGATTATCCGCATGAAAGACTGAAATCCAACAGGAGAGACTCAACACCAACCTGAGTAAACCACTGAATACTTTGACCGATGTGCTTTCTCCGTGTGTCATTATAGTAGAAAAGGTCAGAGTCAATCCACCCAGCGGATGTGATGAAAATCATTCAACATCACGTCCACCTCCAAATCTAAGCCAGCTAAGCCACTTCTGCAGCCATGCGAATGTTGCCAAGAACCAGGTCCAATGGTTTTTCGACAAGACCGCAGCCGCTTTCTGCCGCAGCTGCCACAAGCGCTCCGCATCTTCTCGAGCCGAGCTGGGATCGCCCTGCATGAAGCGAGGCACCAGTTCCGTCAACTCCTCAGGTCGTTTTCCGGCACAAGAAGCTACTAGGAACAAGTGCATCGCTAGTAGTAGCAAGTGCCTTACTAGTAGTAACAAGAAGCTATTAGTTAATTTTAATGCTAATAGCTTTTTGTTACTAGTTACTAGTAGTAAGGCACTTGTTACTACTAGCGAGGCACTTGTTCCTAGCAGTTGATCAGGTCGTTCCGGCGGGACGCAAAACGGGCCGAAGGACCAGCTGAACAGAGGAAGCGACGTTCGGAGCATTTCGGGCATCGCGACTCGAACGGAGCGATCGGACGTTCGTAGCGGGGCGAAACTGGCCTTACTACTAGTAACAAGAACGCTAGGAACAAGAGTAGCTAGAGCCACCTCCCCAAACCCCTCCATTCACAGATCTTCTGTAATTAAGGCATACATAAAGAATCCACCATGGTAATAGGTGCAAAACCACAAGTCAGGAGGCACAAGTCAGGAGGTTTGCTGAGATTCTAAGTGCTGCAAGTGAAAACAAAGCACCTGGTAATCCAAACACTTGAGGAACCGCAAACGCTCGCTTCACACATGTTGCGCTCCTCTTCTGCTTCCAGTGGCAGATCACTTGCCTTGACATCTGCCTTGCAGCTCTCACACTTCCAAATGTTTGCATCCTGAATTAAGTCACGTGAGCTCCCTGCCAAAGTGGCATCATCCACCTGAGGGTAAGAAGGATAGCAGCTCCCTCCACATTGAGGACATGGCAGCCGCCGAGACATGTCAGCGCCCTGACATCGTGCGCAGCTGCAAACGAAACAAAGTGCAGACAGGCGTTCTCGCCGAAGCAAGGTGCTGGTGATGAGATTCATGCCTCAAACACTGGGTAGTTCCGCTTGGAAAGCATCACTGTTGGCAACAGTGCTGCCTTCTAAAGTGAAACCAGTGAAACTTCAGACTTCTGGAAGAAGAAAGGAACACAATTTTGTTGGAGGCCATAGCTTCTGGATGAAGAAAAAGAACAGCATGAACATGTTCTTTCTTTCCTCAAGTCACCATTGCCCACATAGGAGAAGGTCAGCACATCCCCCTCAGCAATCGGACAGAGAGCCCGGTACTGCAAGCGTCCCTCCCGGTCAAAGGACCATGCGGCATTCGGCGCACAGCTGTGGGAGAACTTGGAGCCAAAGACGAAGATCCCCGTGAACTCCGAATTCTGCGGCCTCCGACGCCGGCAGGAGACCAAGGATGGTCAAAGGAGGAAGTGGTTGCCTTCGGGGATGGTGGGTCAAGCGAACCACTTGCAGGGTATCAGGAATAGAAACAAAAGGACACCATCCTGCCTCTCATCATCTTTGTGAATATTCAGGTCAACGATGTGCAGAAAATGCAGCCTAACATGGCAAAAGCAACAGGGCGAAGCAAGACTTGAATTGTTCGCCGCATGCCCAAGTCGTGGAAGTTCTGTAAGAGACACAAGAAGCTATTTCAAACAAGTGCCGCGCTAGTAGTAACAGGTGCCTTACTAGTAGTAACAAGAAGCTATTAGAAACAAGTGCCCTATCAGAGCGTCTGCAGAGGTCGTCTCCGGAAAGAACTTGGAGTCAAAACAAACAGGAACCAGAACCTTCCAAGACCACTTAGAGACAGGTGGTTCTGTAAAACATGAAATCAATGGTGGCTGGAAGCCTAGGGTGAAGAATTTGTTCAGTGCCTCTCCTACCCACTTGCTCCTGCTGAAACTGGCGAAGCAACAGTTCCTCTGGCGTCCAGTTGCTGTGCTTCAATGGCGCCCAACAGCGCAAAAGCTCTGCGCACGCTGCCAGGTGCGTTCCTGGCTAAGCCATTGGGTGCGTTCCTAGGCCTGGTCTTTCAAAGAAAAAAGGATAAAAAAGGTGCCGTGCAGGCATGCAGGCACCGTGCATTGAAGAATTCTTGAACCTGATGCATGCTATTAGTAACAAGTGCCTCGCTAGTAGTAACAAGTGCCTTACTAGTAGTAACAAAAAGCTATTAGGATCACCCAATTCCGTTCGTCCCAGCGGTACCTTGGCTCCTCTTTTCGGAGCCCGGATGAGCATAGAAGAGCTGCAAACAGGCCTGAGAACATCGCGCTGCTGAGAGGGAAGGGAGCAGTTGTGAGTGCATAAAGGGTGATGCGACAAAGACACACCTAGTGAGTCTGATCCTCTTGGAAATGAGCAAAGTGTTTGACACCCTCTTCCAGACCACCCCTCTCCCAGCCATGGCTTCACTGCTCTCTCCACACCCAAAACCGCACGGTTCACGACGCGTCTTTGGTCGCGGACGGTCACGGCCTCCCGCTGCTCCGCGGAGGTGGTGGCCCAAGGGGCGCACAGCGCCGGCGCCAAGAAGCCGCCGAGCTCGCCGAAGCCCCGCAGCAGGCGCTGCGCCTCGGCGCTGGGTGGCGGCAGACCTGGCAGAGGGGAGAAGGGTGTCGGTGTCAATGGCATATCTGTTTTTCTTTTTGTTGTTTTTCAACAAAGAAACAAATGAAAACACATGAAAACACGACTTAAAGAAGTTTGGCATATGATTACGTTCAAGAAAAACTTGAAGGTCCTAAATACAGCCGAAGCAACGCAGAAGTGCCTGCTCTGAAATGATCAAATCATCCGGATGGATCGAACACCTGCAGGTCTGGGGGGCAAAAGCAGCTTCGATGTGGTTCAACCCTCTCAGTCCGTGATCCCCAAAGGAGTCAACCTGGACCACTATTACCATCTCTGGGTCTCTCAAACCATCTGCAATCCTTCTGCATTCATTTACATCCTGCCAGGTCCCGCATCTCCGCCTGGCCACCGCATGGATTCCCAGCTCCTTCGTCTTCCGCAGTTCCATCACCGTCGCCACGGGACCCGCGTCTGCCCGCAGCATCCGCGGTGCCCAAGCCTCGAAGCGCTCGCCATTGGGCACCGAGCCGTCGCACAGCGCCATGGCCATGGGCGTCGCGAGCGGGCGAGGTGTGGTTTTGATTGGTTTTGGGTTTGGGTGGAGGGGAGGATGCCTAGAGATCGGTCGGATGAGAGTGAACGTGTTTCTGGATCTGCTATGCCAGGAGCCCCCTAGTAGCTTCTTGTTCCTTCCTTGTTGTTTTTTTTTCTCTTTATGGTCTTCTTATGTTTTCTTCTTTTACGTGATGTCATCCAGTGCTATCCGACGGATGATACTTTGGTGAAACGAAAGGTAGAACACGTATTCTGCTATTCTTGTCATTTGGAGGCGTGAAGAAAGAACGTCATTCTGGAAGCGGGTTCACTCAGTTTCAGCGGGACAACTGGATGTTCCCTCAGTTGAAGGAATCCTTCCTCCCAAAGATTGAATATTTTGATACAGTTGTCATCTTGTCCAAAACAAAAGTTTCCCTTCTTGCTGCTGTAGTTCATGCAGCACATACTTCTTTGGGTCTTCCTTGTGGTCGCTTCGTTCGATCAACTCAACTGTGAAGCCACATGGAGTCATAAGCAAGTGACAAGCCGACAATCAAAACCATGCCGTACATGACCAAGAAGGTCCAACGTCTGCTTGTGCGATGGGCCTCTGGGACACTCCTTTAAGCTTTGTACACTTCCTCGCACTTGGCCGCACACTCCTGGCAGCTTGGAGCCATGTTGAGATGGATCTTTCGCCTACCAAAAAGGGGTGAGTATTTTACTAGTAGCTTCAAAGACCATAGCAGTGGCAGTAGTAGTAGTAGTAGTAGTAGTAGTAGTAGTAGTAGTAGTAGTAGTAGTAGTAGAGAGACCTCATGCAGTTGGTTGGGTCCTCTGTCATATACTTTTTCTACATGGGGACCGGTCTTCGCCGGCGAGCCTGCGGACGGGTGATGTCTTTGAACTCCTCGCCCATGCCTTGGAAGGAAAGAACGGCAGAAGTGGCAGGGACTCGTCGAGTCAAAGCCTCTCGCCGTTGGGCCAAACCCTTTCGCTGCTAGCCGTGCACAGGGTGCATCCTTGCTCCTCCCTTTGCTCCTAGTAAGGCCAGGAGCGCCCCTAGTAGCGTCCTTGCTCCTAGTAGCGATGCTCTGTGTTACTAGTAGCTTCTTGCTTTCTTCTGAGAAAATCAGAGCTGCCAAGATGCGCTTCATGCCGAATCTTTGACATTGAACCTTCCAGCGATTCAGCCGTCGGTCCAACGATTCTTGCCGCGCTTTCGGAACCTATGTTTCTAATAGCTTCTTGTTACTACTAGTAAGGCACTTGTTACTACTAGCGTGGCACTTGTTCTTAGTAGCTTCTTGTTACTGGCTATATAGGCCTTGGGTTCAACATTGGGAGCTTCTACAGTTGTACCGTTGTCGATGATAGATCACACATCTACAAGCAGTATGATTGAGCTTGTCTCAAGGGTCAAGCTGATCGTGGCATGTCGCACGTCGTAACTCTCGTGGCATGTCGCATCACCCCTATTGGCCTTACACTGCTCCTGTGTCATCTTCGTGGCACTCTTGCCTGCAAACGAGGCTAGAGTAAGCTATTCGCCGCCGTGGATTGTCCAAGAAATCATCTGTCAAACGTGAACACCTGTGCTGCCTAGACCGAGAGGATGTGACTCTTCCAGCTGTAACTAGCTACTAGTAGCTCTGGCACACACTCCATGCACATCACAGGTGATTGCTCCCAGCTCTTTTGGGGTCCACACGAACCCTTCGCCCCGGAACTGCCTTGAGCTACGGAACTTGGCTCTGGATGTCTGCCCTGCACACGTCTCACGAAGAGCGCCACAAATCGTCTCCCGAAGCTTCTAGAGTTCTTTGTGGCTTTGAATTGGTTCCAATATGCTCCAATGGTCATAAGTCATAAGGCACAAGTCTCACTTGACTACTGTGTCTCTGAGAGTTCTTCATAATATTAAGTCTTAGTCTCATATAGTCTCACATCCAGCAACAGCGTCAGACTACGACGGTGTGCATTTCTCCTCCAAGGAAATGGCAGAAGCGGTGACGAACAACTCAGCAAGTGACCAGACACTCCGGGACACAATTCATGGGCACTCAGCAAATGCATCATTTTATCCGCGATGTTCCATGAATCTACATGCGAGTTGCTTCAAGTTCAGTCTTGGCACCGCAAAGAAACATACAACTTTGCTTTTCAGAATTCCTTTGCCCATCAGATGCGCTTTGCGAGAGGATCAAAGCAGCAAGAATCCTATCGACTGAGCTTCAGGCCACTAGAATTGACCTAAGCTTCAGCCCAAAGTCAGCTTCAAGCAATAAGAAGAAACTGCCGGTGAGCATACACACCAACCGGAAAACAAATGGGTGAGCACCGGCTTCCCCAGCTAGCGGCAGCTAGCCAGTCTTTTGGATCCTAGTAGCTACGGCCAGGAGCCCCTAGTAGCGTCCTTTGCTCCTAGTAGCGATGCCCTTTGTTCCTAGTAGCTCAACACCCCCTCTTCCTTCATCCGCCGAGAAGTCTTCCACTGCGTCACCTCCAACTCATCATCGCGAAAGAAAAGACGCCAAAGACGCAGCCCTGCGTGTGCATCGAGGTGCGGTCGTTTGGGGAACCATGTCGATACAGCGACCTATCCGCTATCCGTTTGGGTCCGGTCTCGCATTGAAGTTTCGAAAGATGGGGGGGTAGGTAGAGGCTTACAACCTGTGTAACTGTACCTTTCTGGTCCATCTATGTACGTCGGGTGATACCTTGCATCCATGGTGCCAATTGTATTACCCACCAGGTTCCGCTCCTTTCAACTTTCACTGCCAATGCCTCGCAAAGACTCGACTGATTGACACACGACATATTCCGAGTTCTAGCAACGTCTAGAGCTGCAAAGGTACACTGTTTCAAACTGCCGGACGCTCTCTGACGGACGAACCTCTCCTATCAACCGGATATCCCATGCGCCGGCACGCGCGCAGTGCGAGCCCTTTTTCGTCACCAACGAGGGGCGGTCACGAAGCCTGGTATGTATGATCCATCCGTCGATCTCCGCATTCGCGGAGGGCGTTGAGTTTGAACTGGCTCAAAGCAACCCACAGAAGAGAGGATTCCTTCATCACTCCGATCATATCATCAAGATGTATCCATTCAAAGGCTATCATGCGCCCTATTTTTATATGTAAGAACATGCAACCTAGCGCAAGCTAATAGCGATGGCATCCAACCTACTAGCGATGGCCTGTCAAAGATGTATCCGTTCAAACAAATTCAAACCGTATTCTAGGCAATTCTAGGTCATACATCCTACGATTCGATGGTACCTATTCTACAGGGACGTTGCCTGTTTGGAGTCGGTCTAATTCACCGACGTCACTTGGACGCCAACGGAGTGCTTGTCCCCTTGCGTGGGACGTCAGGATTGACCCAACCTAAGTGCGATGGCCTCCAACCTACTAGCAAGATTGACCCACACATACTGAGATAAGTAGCCAATCTGCTGTTGCTGCCTCCTGTCCGTGGAAAAGGCATTGCCGGACAGGAGGCCAGAATGAAAGCTGGCGATCAGCCTCAACTGCTGGTTGCTACGAACTAACGGCCTCCAAAAAGGATGCATTCATTAACACTGGAAGGTATGACTCCCAGGTTGTTTCAGCAACGCGCAGATGAAATTTTGATCACAGACCAAGTCCTTCTCTGCCAGGTGTAAAACTTTTGATCCTCGCACGTCAGTTCCCTGAAGTGGGTGACAGGTTTCAGTCCAAGAGGAAGCTCTGCTAGATGCCACTGATTAGGGTGGGGATGAAAATGGTCGGGTAGAAATGGAGTACTTCAAGAGATGGGGCCAAAGATGGCTAGACATGGCCAAGTGTAAGTTACCACTGTCACCACGTGTCGCAAGGTCTATTTACTATAGCAAAAGAAACATGTAGATATATAAAGATATTTGGTGTGATGCTATCATAACCAGCCATGATCTTCATCTAAAAAGTCTTCATCCAAGCATTGCAGGTTCATTTCGCAATCGCCTGCGTTACCAGCGTACCAGGCGCTCAAGCAATTCAGTTCCCTCCACATCAACGCTTCAGGGCGGGAACATTCATCCTCAGCACAAACCCAGCAAAAGGCCTACTTTGGAGAGCAAACGTGGAGGTCCAGGCTAGTCAGCTAGCTCTTACAAGACATGCATCTATCAAATCATAGTTTTCTTGTTGGCAAAACTCAAAGCCCCCCTCACCAATGGGTGTTAGTCTATGTTCATCTACCTTTCAATTAAAACCGGAGGTCTTGTGGGCGGCCTCTGTTTTCGGCCGCGCCTACGTCATGTTCCTTTCTTTTGGGTGTGCCCAAAAAGATCTTAGCCAAACCTGGCCATGTATCGCAACCTCTTGCGCCACCCTTGGAATGAAAAGAACTCTTCTTCTCAACTGAGATGACTTCTGGACTGGTCAAAACATCACTTAAGATCTCAGGCAAAGAGCCGATGTCATCCGATGTCCCAGTCCAAAACCTTCTGCCTGGCGCTTCGCCGGCTTCCGGGTTCCCCCACTGAGTGAGTCGACTCTTCCGGGAGAGCGTGAGCCGCGTCTGTGCCTAGCGCTTCGGTAGATGAGACGCTCAGGCTGTCTTGATCGAGACAAAAAGAGTTGAACCCTGGTAGCCTTGCTCCTTGTAGCGATGCCAGAATGCCAGGAGCCCCTAGTAGCGTCCTTGCTGTCTAGAGCCTTCTGGGTCATTCCCGGTAGCTTCCCCTTAAGTGTGATGGAACAAACATGAATAGTATGGATACTAGCAATGGCCTCCAACCTACATGAGCTGAACTACCGTGGCACTGTGGACGCATGACATGCCACAGGGTCCGACTTGCGACTGCCACCGTTCGCTTTGCCTTGATGGCGGTGACCTCCGCGGCCTCCACCTCGAGCCTGGCCAAGCGTGGCTGACGACCAAAAGTGTTGCACTTGTTCCTAGTAGCGTTCTTGTTACTACTAGTAAGGCACTTGTTACTAGAAGCGATGCCCTTTGCTCCTAGTAGCGTCCTTGCTCCTAGTAGCGATGCCAGTCCTTAGTAGCTTCTTGATACTGGTAGTATGAATGCTACTATTCGTAATGCCCTTGTTACTAGTAGCGATGCCCTTGCTCCTAGTAGCTTCTTGCTCCCTAGTGTTGCAATTCTTCAAATAAGAAAGACTTCCGGAATAGAAGGCCTCTTAGATCCTCTTAGCGGATATTGCCTCTTACCAGTTTCTTCGCCTGGACATTGTTGCACCAAAACGTTCCAGATCCGTCTCCGGTCGGTGACGAGAGCGCCACGAGCCTCGCTATCTCCAGCTCCTCCTCGGAGGCGTTCTGACCCTGCAACGCCTCAGCTAGAGACGACCATCGAACAAACATTCTTCTCTGTCTGTCTGTCTGCCTGCCTGCCTGTCTGTATATAGGTGTGTGCGCCTCGGCCAACAAGGAGACCCGACCAGCTCCAAATTATGTCCCGGCGGATCGCTGTTGAAGCTGCCGCAGCTTGATGATTGACAGTTATCTGTCGACTCTCGACTCCAATCGGGAAGTTCCATACAGTTCCACCCACATCTCAGCCTGCCTTCCCATCCCAAGAACCCGACTTACTAAAGTGTCTTCCCTTCAAATGCCGAGACCTTCTACTTGCAGACATTTTTCTCGTCTACCCGGCGTGAGTTTCTTCTGGATCTGTCACTTGTTGGGTATATAGTCATATAATGTCAATTTGGCCTATGTCTCCACCCAACAAGTGACTCCCCATGACTCCTCCAGCTGCTCTGAACCCGAGCATCCGCCAGGTTCGCGGCCGCTTGGTCGGCGTCCTCGCGGCTGCGCTCGGCCTCAATGGCTAAGACGCGTTCCTCGTTGATCTTCCCTGCCAGCTTCCCCAGACCTTGGAACTTCTGAAAGACGGTGGAACCCCCTCTGCGTGAGCCTTTTGAAGGGCGAATGACCACAAGATTGTAATTGGTAGGTCCCAGGGAGATCGGAGCGTCATGTGTTTGTTGAAGCAGACTGTGGGCTGGACAAGGTTTCCAATAATTAGAAACTTGAGCGACCACAGGGCTCAGCATCCGGAAGGTCCGCATTCTAATATGAGTCCTTTCATCTTCCACCACTACGACACAAGCAGAAGACGACACAACAAATAAACAGCAACTGAATCTGCATCGCTTGATTATGGCAATAAAAAACCAATGAACTAGAAAAGAAGGTTTTCAATGCGTGACTTCATGAACGGCCAAGGGACGCAGCATATATTTCTTTTGAACCTCTGGAAGGACATACTTTCCAAGACCTGCTTCCTCGAAGCGTGCCAGAGTCGTCTCCAACTGTGGCATGACCAGTCCTCGACACCACCAAACGACAGGATGCGCGAGTGCTGATGAAAGGAGCAAGGACGCTACCAGGGGCTCCTTGCCTTACTACTAGGAACAAGAAGCTTTAGCAGAAATCGATGCTTGGCGAATTGGATGAGCAAAGTGATGACAAATCCGGAAACCGTCCCAAGAAGTCTACCTCCGAGGTGCTCAAGGAGCTCTTGGCTTCATATAAAGGATTTTGGGAATGAATGCTTTTGGGACTCGCTTGTCAGGGCTGATATGCCAACACACAAGAAGAAAAGAGGCCCCAATTTGGCTCAGGCTTCCTGAGGTGTTTTTCATTTCCACAAGTCCTGAGCTGAAGAACGACAACTCACTGCCATGAGATGTGCATGCCCAACACAGGCGCCAGGTCAGATGTGCATGCCCACCCACCACGCCTGCGAACGCCCCGCAATGTGCCGAGACACCTACGTTGGCCAACATTTCACGTCTCTCGTCCGTGTCGACCTCCTTTTCCACCAACTTGTTGAGAGCTGCCATTTCGGCTTCCTGGAAAGCGATTCACATCGGCTTTGTTGTCTTCGGTGACATCTAGAGCGCCTTTTTTTGTGGTCTATGTGTTGGGATGGAAAGTAAAGAGTTCATCGGCCTATTGCATGCTGTTTTCCAAAAGGCTCCAAAGAGTTCACTTCTCTTGGTAACGTGAGTGTTGCCACTCACGAGTCCGACACGTCCTGTGTCACGTCCGTCTGCTTTGCTTCCTCTGAAGCTCCATCCAAACTATCTTTCACATGGTCTCAACATCTCAACTTGCCGTCCTTTCGACGCTACTAGTGGCTCCTGGCCTCGCTACTAGGAGCAAGGACGCTACTAGGGGCTCCTGGCATCGCTACTAGGAACAAGGACGCTACTAGTAGCTCAACATCTCATGCCATGCCGTCCTTTCGACGCTTCATCTTCTTCTGGTGCGCCGTCATGTAGATCTCGTTCAAGACAGCATCAGGCCCTGTCACTAGCTGCCCAGCCTTCTTAATCACTTGATAGACAAAATACATGGGCACGAAGGGTACAAAGAACATCAGGGTGAAGGCGAAGGCCGTGATGATGGTGTTCACCGTCTCCACCATATCTTCGTAAAGGTGCCTATCCTGCGGCACATCACGCAAAGTCATGGTTCGCCCTGTTTTGCTCAACAAAGGGGGTCATGCAATCAGGCCTTCTCAATATCTTCTGTTCCCAGCTTCTCGAAAAGGTCTCCCCGACTCAAACAAAAATCCGTCAAGAGCAACTGAACTTGGAACAAACAAAAAACTAGTAGCAAGAAGCTACTAAATGGAGGCTATGGCTATTAGGTTTTAGTTCATTATGAAAGACCCAACAGGCTGCCACCGGTGCTCACGCCCGAGCAGGCCCAGTCCAACTGCCCTGGCTCTCACGCCCGGCTCGTCGCTCCGTGTGTCTCTCCAGGAGCTCTTTCATAACGGCACACCAAAGGATCATAAAGAGAACTCCCATCAAAACCGACTCCTCAAGGATGCCAAGGAAGCTACTAGGAGCAAGAAGCTACTAGGGGCTCCTAGCAACGCGGAGCAAAAGACGCTACTAGGGGCTCCTGGCATCGCTACTAGGAGCAAGGAAGCTACGAGTAACAAGGATGTGGGCGATGGGGCATCGGGGCGTTTGCTAGAGGTGTTGGTACTGAGACCCACCAGCCACAAGGGGAGTCCATCGATTGTAAAAGCCGATGGAAAAGGAAAGCTCCATGATATTCACAGCAGCTACGGATTGTTTTGCAAGTTCGTCGCAAACGTATCATGAGAGCAGCTCTTGGAAACATGGACCCCCACATGGTGCTTGAATGCCTTTGAAACCAGGGCAGTTTCAAGGTGAAAGTGATACCTATTATATATAGGGGCCTTTCTACTCCAGCAACATGTTGATGATGCTTCGCGTGAAGGAATTTTTGTATCTTCATACACACCTTCTGGGATACTTCATTGACGCTGTCCAACAGAACATTGAGAAGCTGCACCAAAAATATTTCCTTGCCATTATGTAGGTGGCTACTAGGTTGGAGGCCATCGCTACTAGAAGAAAAAAAACAACCGTTGACTGTTGACTTATTTTCGTTGAGGCATTTCCTAAACTGTCTTCACCACGAACCGGGATGGCGCCGAGCATCTGTCTTCACCACGAACCGGGACTTGTATGGGCTCAAACCTGGGCGCTGATGGGGCGCTGATGGGCGGCACACGTCAGCCGGCGAGAGCAACGCCTCTGGTGATCGTTCCAAGATGTTCCATTGGGAGATCAGTTCATGGCTAAAGAGACTCAGCTAGCTCTGATTCTCAGCCGGCCCGGTAGAACCTCTTGGCACGCCAAACCACACAGAATGCTCGAATGCTCCATAGTAGAGAAATTCTACACGACATGTTGCACTGTCGCACCCTGCTTCTTTGAGGCACGTAGATGATCTCTCCAACTTGGACTCTCCACCGGAGAATGTTTGCCGAGCAGCAGACCAACATGGTGACATTCAGCGCGAAGATGAGCATCTGCAAACCCGCGCCGATGACCACCAGATTTTGGCTCGTGAGCTTGATGGCCGCATTGGAGAGCAGGTTCCGGAGTAAGGTGTTCACCAAGAAGATCCAGCCGTAGGTCACCAGATTCCCATCCGCCTCACGCGTCTCGACCCCGAAATCGGTAGAACACGGTGAAAGCAAAAAACACCATAAAAGCCACTACCCTATCCATTGTTCTGAAGGGATGGTAGGACTTGCTTGGCCTTCCAGCTCTGACGGGCTTCAGATCTGGCTGGAGGCGGTGTTCATGCTTCCCAGTCGACTGAAAAACCGATGGAAGGATGGCAGCTACGCTGCATGAAAGGTTCCAAGCATGGTTGCTTGGATGTTCTTTTGGTGTCTACGCCGAAACCCCAGTAGCTTCTTGTTACTACTAGTAAGGCACTTGTTACTACCTAGCGTGGCACTTGTTACTCCTCAAGCTTCCCATACCGAATGGTCTCACATCGTGACGGTCACATGTCGTCGACTTGTCAAGACGTCGTTGTCACCCGCCTTGGACGGCCAGGTATTCTTCTTCCTTGGACGCCAGTGGCGCTGCACATCCACTGGTCTGTGTGACAAGAACCAGTTCCTTAGTTCCTAGTAGCGAACATTGCTCCTAATAGTACGGCCAGGAGCCCCTAGTAGCGTCTTTGCTCCTAGTAGCGATGCCAGGAGCCCCTAGTAGCTTCTTGTTCCTAGTAAAAGGATTTGACCGTGTGCGACCCCTGGATGACCAGTTTGTTCCATTCAAGGAGCAGGGTTGACGAGGGTGCATGGGCTGCCATTGGCCATGCTTCAAGTCTCTCTTCACCGAGTACTATAACGGTACTTGCTTCCTTTGGGTCTTTCTCTTCTGCCAAGAGACAGAAATCTCTTCTTCGCCTTTGTAATTGCAAGTCTTTGCTGCAAACCATCCTGGCGAAGCAACTCCCCTGGGGCTCCTGTCGGAGTCCTCGCCCCGGACTTTGGAGGCGCCAGCGTTCGGGGACATCACAGAACTGTTTGGCTGGTCTAATCATGCCATACACCAAAACTCCTAAAGCTTTGAGGTTTGCTACATATAAATACGTACATCAAACCTCCAAAACAACAAGGCAGCAAAGCCCTGCACCTGACCAAGCTCTCCGCTTTTGTCAATGAACTTCTCCTGAGGCACAAAGTGACTTGCCGACCATCGACCCATAGTCGGGCTCGTCGACAGAACCGTTGCATCCTTGTTTGATCGGTGCTCCCAAAGCCTTTTTTCCCCTGCCCAGCTGGATGGATTTCCAACGGCCGGTCCTCATCTCTCAACGCCCACCGCTCGCCCCGGAGTGAAAGAGCAACGATCGGTGCTGGTGGAACGAGCTTCATGATGTTTCATCTTCAAACATGCTTTTTTTGGTCTATCCTATTACCTGGGCCTCAGTGGATGATGATGGTTCAGTTGCAGGCCTTGCAATAATGATGATAATCGTGTACTGACTGTTACAGGTAATGGGACAGACCCTACATATACATAGTCTATACCAGCACCCGACTCTACAGGTCTCCTCTGGTGGCTGAAATGAAGATCTAAAAGTGGCGGGTGGTGACCTGTTGGAGGGTTCTGGTATGGTATAGACACATTCTAATATGCACATATATCTCTTCAATATTCTTCAAGCTCTGCCTGACTTTTGAGCTTACTTCAACACCCCTCAGAGACCACTCGTCGATCCCGCCTCCTTCTCCGGCGCAAAGCGCTTCTCCCGATGGTCTCGGCCCTTGAGCATCTCCCGGGCCTCGGAGAAGGGTGGCCGACGCAACCAGCCGGGTGAACGGGTGGTTCGGGGAAGGCCGTGCCCAGACAATGACTGGAAGTATAGAATATATATATATATACCTACTAGAACAAGAAGCTACTAGGGGCTCCTGGCCTTACTACTAGGAGCAAGGACGCTACTAAGGGCTCCTGGCATCGCTACTAGAAGCATTCTTACTAGTAACAAGAAACTACTAGGAACAAGAAGCTACATTGATCCCTTTTCAACCACCCCAATGTAAATATGCCAGTCCCATGGAGTGTTTGGGGTTTGGTATAGTGATACCGTGGTACCGTAAGGGCTTTGAAAAAGCACGTTTGGACACCTGTTTGGAAACTCTTCCGCAGCTCGCCATCATCTGCAGAAACACCCCCCCTTGTGTAGAAGGACTGCACTGCCGGGCCTGCCGATGTTGAAAAGCTTGGTTCTTGAAACATGTTGAAAGAAACTTCTCACAGCTTCAGCAGCACATCCTTGATGTCTTATCACTACCTTGTCCTCGATTCACACCCAAACATCATCAAACCTCCATCTTCTTCCCCCCAATGTCTCCTTCGTCGTGCTGTGTGTCTGTGCTTCGTGCTCTTCGTGACGTTCGCCGCATCGCTCCGTCCCAGCCGCTCTCATCTTGGCTTCTCGTTCGTGGAGCTTCGTGGCGGACACGTCGAAGGCGCGCACCGCGCACACGTTCTCCATCACTCGCGTACGCACCTCTGCCGTGTAGCCTGGTGTCAAGTCAGGTCGAGTCAAGGGGGGTGTCGAGTGTCGAGCTGCCCCGGAACAAGATCAGGAGACTGACCTATATAATTACTGCATTGATTCTACTGCAGTTGATCATATCATATTAATTATGAGGGTTTCAGGACCAGGTTTTATTGGGTCAGACTGGACCTGTAGGGTGTTAGCGGTTCACCGTGTCCGTCAGACTGGTCGCTTCGGCGCATCCCGAAGCGGATCCCTTCAGCGGGCCCACCTCGCTGCCCAAAGGTGGAGACCTCCACCATGGCCACCTGAGACAGTCAAGTTAGAACAGAAAAAGAAACTATACTTTCATCCCTTTGTTCCTAGTAGCGTCCTTGCTCCCAGTAGCGATGCCCTTTCTTCCTAGTGGCGTCCTTGCTCCCAGTAGCGATGCCCTTTCTTCCTAGTGGCGTCCTTGCTCCGTCCTTGCTCCTAGTAGCGATGCCCTTTGTTCCTAGTAGCTTCCTTGCTCCTAGTAGTAAGGCCAGGAGCCCCTAGTAGCGTCCTTGTTACTAGTAGCGATGCCCTTTGCTACCTGTAGTATACTTTCATATACGTATAATGATACTTTCATATCTCCTTTCTTGCTAGCACTTTCTTGCATTTCGTCCTTCATTCCTGTTCCCTTGGTCTTTCCTTTTCCTTGGCGGCGTCCCTCTTCACTTTCTTCACTTGGTTTGTCGGCTTCGACATGTCCATTCGTTTGATTTCGGTCCGAAGGCAGTAACAACCAGGAGGATGAAACACTCCAGAAACAACCCAGCTGCACAGCTGCCAGTTTGCTTTGCCTAATCCACACCTCTTCCATTGCAGCTGAGCTACGTAGAAAGGGATGTTGCTTCGATCGCGTGTGCCCTGCTGCCACTGGTAACCTCACCGGTGGCACCGTCAAAATTGTAGACGAAACTGCCCCGTGGCAAGTGGATCACTTCACCTTCAACAGCGTCACGGGTCACTGCCCAAATTCGGAGCATTCATACAGTAGGGTAGTAACCATGATAGCAATCCTTCGTGCAAATGACATGACCACTGCAACGGCCTCAGGGGTTGAGCCGCACTGTTGGGCCGCCGCTTCCGTGTGCCCAAAAGTGGGCACCAAAGAGGGGGGGAGACTCTGAAACTGCCAGAAGCTCAGAGCGTGCAATATACTAGCGATGGCCTCCAACCTAATAGGAATGGCCTCCAACCTACTGATACCAGGAACTAACTTGATATTGTCCCTTGTCAGCCGACGAGGAGCTGCACCAAATGCAGTAGATCAGCCAGCTAAAGCCCGTGGCAAAGACCAACATGGCCAGCGAACCTGGGTCATTTGGGGTCACGAACCGTTGGTCACAGCTCTCCGAACCGCTCTCCGCGAACTTCCAACGCTCCGTGAACGCATCAGAACGCGTCGCAACAAACAGCGGTGAAACCTAGGAGAAGATGGTGGGTACCGTCCTCCTCCTATTTCCACGATCACTACACCCGGGAAGACTAAAATGGAACCTGAAAATGGTTCTTTGGAAAACTATGTTCCTCTACAACCCAGTGTTCATCTTCCAGGATCACTACCAAACCTGGCATTCCAATTCCACACCTGGGACCACAGAACCACACCGCCAAACATCCAGCCTGCGCCAAACATTGTCATGAAGGTCTCATCCGCGCTGCTGCACTTCACTGATGGCACATCCGCCAAGACATAGATCCCGTCCCCCAAAGAGACGCATGCGAAGGGGATGAGGATGGTGTCCAGGTGAAATGGCAGCCTCGAAACTCTGATCTAAAGAAACGCCTGTGCCATTGCTGCTATGAGATAGATGCGAAGCAATGCGGAGCGTCAACACAAGAAGCCTGAAACCACTCTGAACAAGCTCCCAAGTGTTCCAGTCTATTCAAAAGCCGCATGCATATGATGTTTACATGGCTCTGCGACCTTCTTTTTTTTGTCGAAACTGATCATTCCATCTGCGTCTGACAAGAAATTTAAGTCAAGTCAGGCTGCAAGGCCAACAACACCATGCAAATACATCGGGCCCAGGCATTGGTCAGCAACTGCCTCTTGGTTTGCTTGGCCTGGCACAGACTGGACATGTGACTGGACAAAGACAAAGCGAGTTGGGCGGATTGCACTGCTGGTTCAAAGCTGATGGAGTTGGAATTCTGCGAAACTCTTGAGCACCTCTTTTCTTCGGCTGGAATGAACAGATACTTCACTAGATCATAGCCATAAGGCCTTGACCTCAACCCTTGACAGGCCCCCTCGGATGGTCGGTCTGTACGGGTACCGCCATCCGCATGTCAGGCCTTCAATGCCATCGAGTGTGAGCCACTTTCAAACCTAAGGCTCATCAACTCAAGCAAATCTACGATGCGAGCACCATCCAGATGTTTGGTTGCCAAATCTGCTGGATTTACACTGGTGCCGCACTTTCCTAACACAACATCACCATCTTGAATCCTCTGCTGTAGCCATAAGAAACATCGTGCAATGTGTTTGGCCTTGCCATGACCACGTCTTCCAAGCATAGCCTTCGCGGCAGATGCATCAAACACCAACTCTGCTGAAAACTCGCAACCCAAATCTTGCATTGTTGCAATGCCACCCAACAGAACACTCCCAGCTTTGATGCCTGCGTAAAACTCTGATTCTCCTGAACTCAAGCTGATCACATGCTGGGTTGAAGAGTAAAATTTCAACAAGTGACTCCCATGCATCAATGCACCACCTGAAGTACTCTTCCTTGTTGTGAGGCATCCACCATCATCTGAATCTGAAAACATTTTCAACTTGCTTTGCTCTGACTGTTCCGCATAGCTCCACACGAGCCTCCGGTGTCCTCCAAGGTATCTTGCAAGCCGTTTCAAGCCGTTGTAATGTCCTTGAGTCGGACTCTGCATGCCTCTAGCCAACTCTTTGGTTGCATAAGCGATGTCTGGCCTGTCCAAACTCAAGTAATTTGCCCTCATTGTCAAGCTACGGTATCTTGTAATATCAGCACCTGTCAACAATGTTTCATCGGGATTGGAGCCACTGACACCGGGCGACGAAACTGTCTTGGCTGTTGTCAAATTCAACTCATTCAAAATAATCTCAACATGTCGAGGGTCTGCTTCAAATGTTGTTGCTGTTGGACCGTAATGCACAAGCCTGTTCAAGATGGCCACATTCTGAACATCTGTCTCGTCTGGTCCAAGCAAGCCCCCAAACTTCATCTCATACCTTGTACCCATCTGTTTGTAAAGCCACATCAAATCATCTTCAAAACCCAACACTGTAATGTCATCACCATGTATCGAAACCTTCAAGTCTCTTGTAGCGTTGACAAAAAGAACTGGGCTACCAATGCCAGGAGCAAAACCGTTGGTTGTAAAGAAGTCTGTGATCTCAAGCTCCCAACATGCTGCGGCGTCACGACAACCGTACATAGCCTTGTTGAGCCGGCCACAAGTTCCTTCAGGATTTCCCGCCTCCACTGGAAGTCTAACGTACACTCGTCTGAATATACGGGCTGTCCAATGTGCACGGCGAATGTCAACAAAAAGAACTTTCTTCCTCCTCCCCTTGCTATCAAGATCTGTGCAACTTCGCTGCAAACTCAAAAGCATCCTCACGGACTCTAAGGGAGGTGTGGCTGCGAACACCGCCTCAATATGCGACTGCCTGATCTCTTGGATGACCAAGCGAGAACGGTACGAAGGATGATCTTCGTCTCCTTTGTTGATGTCAATCCAGCGAGAAGAGATGGGTCCTTTTGAGTCATACTCATAAGCCTCAGCTATGGGTACAGTGTCCCATACACCATAGCGCACAGCATAGTCAATCTCCTCTGCTCTAGCCTTTCGCACTCCTGCTGCTGACAAAGGTTTGCCGGAAATCTCATCAACAAAACTAATCCAATCATCTGCAAGCTGTAAACCTGAGGGTGCCAGTTCAATGTCCAAATCGACTTCCTCATTTGTTGGACCAAAACTAAGTGCGCTCATGGGCTTCACCTTCTTCAGCTGTTTTCTCAGCCCCTTCAAGATACTACGCAAGAGAAGATTGGGGTACACTTCGCGCTGCTTTGCCTTACCCCCCAAAAGGGGAACATGTCTGTGCCATACCTTGCCTGGTTTGATGTGGTCGAAAACTGTTTCAACTTGTTTGCATTGTGATGGAATTCTGAATTCTAACGTTTCTCTTGTGGCTGAATGAACATCTCTCAAATCCTGCAACAAACGATGATTTGTCAAATCAAACGTCACCCTTCTCTGCACACGTTCCCAAGATGGGCCCCCTTGGCCTGGATACTGCCCTTTTGTTGCACTGAAGTTGACCTGCCTGAAAACACTCAATGCATCTGGATCATTTGAGCAGCGCTTGGAAAGTTCCTGTGCAATGCATTCACTGTTGGTGAGGTAACCTGTACTCTTCTTGGCCAAACCCTCACCATGCTCATCCGACACACGCATGTCCTGCTCACACATGTCGCCAACAACATGGAACACTCCTTCCTTATCTTTCAAGCGTTCAACCGATGGCGACTTCCAGGATGTAGCAAATGCTGGATGTTCGTGCAAGAAAAATTTGTTCCTCTTCATCTGGGCTTCATATTGTTCAACACAAAACTCAAGATGGTTCTCTGCTTCTGTCATTGCTTTGTCCCACACCTCCTGGTCAATTCTATGTTGATTGAGGTATTGAAGCAAGCTGTACATGCGACATGGGGGACATCCCAACAACAAATCTGGACTCATACTCTCGATTAATTTTGATGCACTGTCCTTCCGCTCTTTCACATTAAAATCCCATGCAACCCCTTTGTCATCACAGGTTGTCAAGTCCAATGCGAGACCTTGTCCGAGCGCCCTCCTCTGTGCATAGTCTGTCAACCTCGGCGGAGAGAAAAGCTCGACCAACACTGGACTGCTGAAGCTGTAGGCCGCCTTCACGGTCAAAGCTCCTGTCTGCAAGAGGATCCTTCGAGCCTCCACTTCCTCGTCAAGCATGAGCTCTGCTGTCTCATCAAGACTGACCTCTCTTCTCACAAGCTCAAATTCTTGGCTTCGATCAAGTGATCCAACGTCCATGACAATCGATTCATCAAGATCCTCCACATCCACCACCACAGGCCCCTCGCCCACCTCCACCACCGGTCCAGCTGATGGACCAGGGAAATGAAGCGAGGGTGGTCCTCCTGGAAGCAACTCGACCGGACTCTGATCTGGCGGCCGCAAACCTGAAGACTCAGTACCTGGCGATGGCCCAAGAATTTTATCAAGCTCTGTGATCTCTTCCTCTGCTGATTTCCTCGATGTCGCCTTCTTTTCTTTTGCAAGTTTGTCGTCATCAAGCTTGCGCTTCCTCTCATCCTCTCTCTTCTTATAAGCGACAATGTATCTTTCTGCACGTTCATGAACTCGTTCCACTCTGGCCTTACCATCCTCTGTTTTGCTCAACTCATTTGCAATCCTCGCCTTGCAAACTCTGCTATGTTGACGATGAGCAAGTCCACTTTGAGCCGCCAAGCAACCGTCACACCCTTCAGTGTATCCGAACTGCTGCAACTCCACGTCACGACGAATGTAGAGACCTCTTGGCACATAGTCCCTACCCTTCAACTTCACCACCGGCTCGGGCATTTTCGGCTCCTCCGATAGCTCAATCTCTATCGGTCGCAAGGGTCCTGGATCTGCAGTCACTGGTGGCTTCAACTGCCACGGCAACCCAACCAAAGACTCCAATGCTTCCTTCTTCCACTGCTCGTCCCTGGGCCTCCGCTTCACGCTCCAAGCTCGCTCAACTCCTCGATCCGTACCAATCCACTTCAAAGCTGTGCCTTCTTGCAAACCCAGATACACCCCATCTTCAAAACGAGGCTCAATCTTGGCAGGATTCCGTTCACCTTTCAACCTCTGAAAAAGAACGCATTCCCCAAATGCAGGAAGCTTCAGCTGCCACCGTTTCCCTGTTGACCTTTCATAAGGAGTTCTGCCATCTTGTCCTCTACTGAACCTGGATAGCAAAGTCCCAGCATAATCGATCAACCAAGGCAAGATTGGATGTCGAGAAGATATGGCGGCCCCATAGTTAGCCTCCAAAGCTGACTTCAAGGTTCGACACATTCCTTGGAGCTTACCCACGGCATTCTCAATGGGTCCATTGGCCTCACTCTCCCCTTTGACAGCATCTTCAAAGCCAACACCGGGAAGTCTCGCCTGAACCTCATTGCGAAGTGCCACCAAAGACCGTTCGGTGTCGGTCTTCAACACTGCATCTTGCAAGCCCAAACAACGAAGCAACTTGACAACAATGGTCACTGGATACTGATGATCTGTAACCCCTTTGCACGGCATGGCCACTGAAAAAGTTCTTTGCGACTTCTCCTCCAAGATCGCCAGAAGAGGCAAACATTCCTCCTCCCGCCGTCCAAGATAAAAGTAGTCCATGCTCACCCGAGGCCTCCTCCTTGCTTTGTCGTCAGCATCCTCTCTCACTCGTTGATGTGCTAGTGCTCGTCCACGGCCTCTAACACAATGATTGCACCAACTCCTATATGGCAAATGAGTAACATTGTGCTCATCCACCTCCTGCGCACTCGGCTTCAAGGGTGTGCTTTGTGCGATCTTTTCGATCTCCTCACCCCCACTCAATTCTCCATGCAACTCCTCATCGACACCTCCCGCGGGTGCCTCATAGTCCTCCCAGCCCTCTGGGAAATAGTCACTGGTGTCTACGTTCAAGCTCATAGGACCTGCACCATAAACATCAGAACTTGGATGCACTGCTAATTCATGGGCCTCATCACGAGCCGCTGTTGTCTCCTCCTCGGCCTCCTCCGCGTTCACTGCATGAATGAAGAACGACCGATCAGGACTTACAGCATGTGCTGGACTCACCTCTAGATCGCCGGAGGCACAATCCACGGCGCCGGCCCGCTGAAACCCTCACGTGATGGATGCACGACGTGCATCCTCTGCACATAGACACCTTCTTCCTGGTGTAACTGCATTCGCTCTCCTGTCTCAATTTCCTCAATCCAACTGTCCTCCCAATAGGGTGCCAACAAAATCCGATGACCACGATTGGCAACCTGAGCAGCCGACATGAGGACCTTGTGTACCTGAGCAATGCTGAACTCTGTCCCTCTCACCTTTCCTTCCTCTGTTACGATGAGGGGCTTCACTCGATACAACTCTGGAACAATCTCTCCATTTGCACTCAAGAAACTCACACCGTCAACTGGGGCCAACTGCTCATGCTCTGCAAAAGCTTCTGCTGGGGCAACCGACGCTGCAGCTCCTGAATCAACCGTCACCGTCAACGGACATGCACCTTGAAGATATTGCTCAATGCGACGCTCCATCTCATCAAAACGTCCCTGCTCTGCATCAGCCACAATGCGCCTTGCAATGGCCTGTGCCCTGCTCAATGCACACAAGTGTTTGATGGTCAAACTACCGGTGCTCACTGGAGGCTTTGGCAATGCACTGGATGCTGCACCTGGCGATGTCGGGGACGATGGAGTGGAGATTTGAACAACGGGCGGACTGGGTGCTGAGGACGACGATGCTCCTGTCGATCTCAACCGCTGAAACTCCTCCACAGCAGCCTTGGCATAGCTCGACTGCAATTGTGACAACAAAGGCGAGGTCTCCTTCTCAACTGTGTTCAAGGGCTTGGGACGGCTCCAACACTGATCCTTGTAGTGGCCTGTCTTGCCACAATTGTGGCAGACCGGCTTGGCTTTTCCTCCACCTTTCTTCCCTTCAAAGCCTTTGCCTTTTCCTTTGCCCTTGCCACCGTCGGGGATCTTGCCCTTCCCCTTTCCTCCATCCTTACCTCCTTTGCCTTTGCCCTTCTTGCAATCCTTCTGCATATGAGGACCTCCACAAATGTAACAACCACCTCCCTTGCTGACACCAACCGACCCAACATCCATTGTTGTCGACGCCACTGGTGCCACCTGCTCAACGTAACTCATGACCTCCTCACGAAGTTCAAGGTATGTGGTGTATCTTGCGGCGTTCATATGCAAGTGCTGCTTCAAGGCATTCGGAACCATGTGAACTAATGCAGCCATCTTCATAGCATCAGAAACACGATCGGCTCCTGGCCTCGACTCATACTGCACGATCAGGTTCTCCCAATTCACCAACTCAGCCGCCAACTTGTCAATGCTGATCGCTGCTGCCGGGTTGGTGATCTTCATAAGATCAGCTCTTTGACGGCCAATGGTGACCGGGTTGAACCGAATCTGAAGCAACCTGAATGCCTCAAAACCGTTGGGCCTCCTGGCTTGTCGAACCAAACTCCTGGCCTCACCCAATGTGTACGTGGTCAGCATGGCGTAAACATTTGTATCTGCATACTGTACCAACAATGGGTCCAAGTGCGGAAAATGCAACAAAACATCACCCTGTGTCATGGTTGTCTTCTGTTGTGATGTTGCAATCCATTCCAACACTTCATAGATACCAGGCATGTTTGAATCGCTCAATGTAATGATGCTATCCGCCCAATCCAAAAAACTACTTCTCCCATCCGTTGGATTGAACACTCCCGGCTTGCCCAACTGTTTACTATCAACTCCACCTTGTTGAATTGCATACGCAACAGCCGGACTGGTCCTGATGCTCCCGGAACTCGGACCTCCAATGTTGAACACTTGAGGTCCTCCCAACCCAGATGCCGATGCCCCCGTCATCCCTCCAGCAACCTGTGACCCGGCTGCAGGCACACCGGCTTGCATAGGAGGGGGTAGATGCACGGGTGAACCACCTCTTGCTGGGGTCTGTTGACCTTGTGATGCCGGAGGATTTGGAGCGGGACTCAAACCTGTCGCCAACTGAGCTTGTTGCTGTTGTACCTGTTGGATCGCTTGTCCCATCTGTTGCATCTGATCCTGCAATGTTGTCAAGATAGTTCCAACTTGGGTCAACTGCTCCTGACTCTGTTGCTGCTCATGATGAAATCCCGCTTGCACCTGAGATACCACCTCCGTCACAACCTGCTCTGTAACAGCCTGTGTAGCTTGAACTGCCGACCCAGTACCCTGAACTGCTTGGCTCAATGACTCGATCTGGGCTCTCTGCTGTTGCTGCTCCTGAAGCATCTGTTGTAAGGCCGAAGTCAAGGCTGCAAGATCTGGCTGTGCACCATCGGTCGCCATGACCAAATAGTCAAGACTGAAAACAATCCCAACCAACACAACCAATGCAATCAACGTTTGCAGCCCAATCCAACGCCAATGTACCCACCGTGCTTCACCGAGCACGACAACTCCGGCTGAGCGCTCTCGCTCTAAGGGCTGGGGAATCGGTGTCCTCCTAGCCCTCATGCCATGGCTGCTGGTTGGTTAAGCGGTCCAGCTCCGCTACCATGCGAAACTCTTGAGCACCTCTTTTCTTCGGCTGGAATGAACAGATACTTCACTAGATCATAGCCATAAGGCCTTGACCTCAACCCTTGACAAATTCTCATGTACCATGTCCTATTCTATCAAACACATCTTTAAGTATCTTTTTATTCTTTTTTTGATAAACATGTGCCATCTACCGTATCTACCCCGTTTCCTTCCTTCCCCCACGATGTCTTCGAATTTCGAGCGCCTCGGGGCCCAAGCCCGGTAATGTGGCCATACATGCCATGAGGTAGGCAGCCGTCAAGGGCATGATCATGAAATACGGCAAGACCTGACACGCGACGCCAAAATCGAAACACTTATTATGCTAACTCTACGAAAATGGCATGGCTTATGTTAACTCTGCCCTGATCCTGATCTGCCCTGTTTTCTTCCTTTGGTCTTTCCTCAAACAGAGGTCAAGGCCACAACTCGACTCAGCAAAGTCCAGCATTCTTCCCTTCTCCCAGCGGAAGGCGCCCGGAGATCGGTGGGAAGATCATATCACTTTGCAAGTAGGAGCCCATCGCTAGTAGGGGGGAGGCCATGTCTCATGAATTGGAAATTGCCATTTCCCCTTCAGTAGACCCTCCTCATCGAAAATTGCACCCGGCCATTAAATGGCTGCGACACGAAAAACATGTCCCAAGTGGCCAAGTACCCAATCCACTTGGTGATGTACGGCGTCTCGGCAGAGCACTCCGGGGCGAAGAAGTTTAGGTTGAAGGAAAACATCTGAGCAATCTTTACCTCGGTTGAAGGAACAAGAAGCTGCTAGGGGCTCCTGGCATCGCTACTAGGAGCAAGGACGCTACGAACGGGGCTCCTGGCATTACTACTAGGAACAAGGACGCTACTATAGAAAAAATCGTCTTTCAAATGAGATCCTCCAAACCCCCAGTTCAAAGAGGTGAATCTTCGATGGTCTAATATTCACAAAAACAGACCGAGTTCGACCAGGGTTGGTGAAATGAGATCAAAACCCAAATCTTCTCTCCAGAATCCTCCGTTCTTTTGTTGGACCGGTGATTCAATGCACGGAGTTCCAGGCATTCACCAGATGCTTTATGGGTTCACACCTCCATTAACCACAGGTAGCAACATTCTTGAGTTCGATTGGTGATGAGGCGAACCACCTTTGCGCTCTTTGCAGTACATAATTAGCTGTCAGTCGTGGCAGTATTTCTGAAGACCAGTGATTCAGATTGAGAAAATGTCGTCACAGTCCTCCACAGTTTCAACCCAGTTCAAACCCAGTTCACCAACTCGGTGAAGGCGTCTGGCCATTGGAAGTCGAAGCCCGAGACCTTCGTGAAGGACGTCAACACCTCGCCAGACACTGGGGTGGTGTTGGTGCGGGCACCCGTTGAGATCGGTCGAAGGGCCATCAAATGGCCCGGCAGAGGGAGTTCGGGTCGGAGCACTCTGCAACCATATACAACTTGTAGACTATACAGCTACGTACCATATCATTTACACAAAAAATAACACATCTTCTACCCCTACCTCCAAAAAAAGGAGAAGACCCTCAATTCAGTGAGGAAAGTTGCAGGCACCGACTCGCTACCTAAAGAAACTGGACCCCTCCAAAATTCACTCCGAGCTACACCCAGCATTACCACAACCATCTTCCGGTCGTCCTCGAAATTCACCCCATCCACGCTCTTGCCGTCGGCTTCCTGCAGCTCCACAGTGTTTGGCAGAAATGCCGTAACAGCATCACTCAGCGACGCCGTCCCACTCCAAGCCATCACATCGCTCTCCAACCTAATAGCAAAAGGAACCTACTAGCGATGGCCTCCAACCTAATAGCGATGGCGTCCTAGTCCGTTGGTCCTGCTTCTCTTGCTCTTTGGACTTTAAGGGTGCCGAGAACGTGAGACGCAGGGGGAAGTTGGACCTCGGCACTAGTGAAAAGCAAATGTAGCAACATGCAAGTGGGAATCTCGAGAACAGCTTCTTTTGTTGGTTTCAGGAACTCGACATCTGGCATCGGCATCGAAGGAAGGGATACATCTGGCATCGTCTAGACCTTTGAATTCTCAGTACTAGACCTTTGGATAATCTCTTGCACCTCGCCCTCTTTCCGGACCTGAGCGGCAAGACGAACAAATACACATGTCGCGACGCTAGCGTCTTTTTCAAAGCCCGCTCCCCCCTGCCTACTGAATTGAGTGAGGGACTAGTAAGCTACCAAACTAAATTAGCTTCTAGGTAGGACGCAGGATAGCTCATGCTTCCACTAAATGATTTGGTTCCTAGATTTTTAGGGAAACTCAACTATAGCAAGGCGTCATCCTCTTCATTGTACATGTCCGGGTTGTGATCCGACATCACTTGCTAGTGAGGCTGTAAATGATCTCCCTTCACCCAGCTTAGATTATGGATGATTATAATGGTTAATGGTACTTATTCCCTCAACCAGCACACCTCCCTTCAGCACAATGTGTCAAGCCTTCAGCCTGCGTCCGTTGATCGTGTTCACTTTCCAGCCGGGGACCACCTGGACAAGTTCAATTCCTCAACGACTGTGCTGCTTAGCAGCTTAGCACGCACATCTCCTGTAACGTGTAGTTCTTGGGGACAGGCTCTGATATAAAAGCTTCAAGGCAGTACAATGAGGTCTGAAACTACCAAGCTCTAGATTCTACAAGTAGATGCTGGTTGTTGCTGTGCTGGTGTACCACCAAAGGCATGTGGTATTTTCGGTAGCACTAGTCCAACATGACATGTGCACAGGAACACAGCAAAGGTTGCAAATACATGCAGTGTCAAGAACATCATTCAAGAAAATGGATCACCCAAGGTACCCCAAAACTGGAAACACAACATTTATCCGACATTTAGATGCAACCTTTAGTGGGAAGCTGCTCAGGCAAGGCTCTCGACCTCCTATATGCGACCCCTCTCTCAGACAATGCTTAAAAAACCCAAAACGAAAAACAGCCAGGAATGTCAGTTCAAGTAAAACCCCTCTTGAACAACCACCAAAGGCCAAAAACGCAGTCCCAAAAACAAAGTTTCGCAAACACAATGCGAACAGGTTTTGTTCCACATCGTTTTCCGAACGAAGATCCGCCAGCACTGAACGCTGCTCCGCGCTGATCCGCCTTGCCACGAAGAGGAGAGTCCTTTGTGAGACCTGCGAGGTGCACGATTTGGCTCTCGTCCACTCGGAAGACCTGAAGCGAACAGCAAAGGTATGACATCGGACATGAACACAGAACTGCAAAGGTATGAGGTCCAAACTCCACGACACACAAAACAAAAGTGACACCAATTTGGTAAATCAATGTTGTGTATACTCATGTTCTGTTCAATGTTGCCCGCCAGGGTGCCATTCCCAACTCGCGGTACTTCGAGAAGCTGTGGCTCATTCCCAGTTGGCTTCTCGTGATGGTCACTGCTTTACCTCAGAACTCAAGCAGCGCTGCATTGATCGAACAAGCTGACTTGATGACTTGATGAGGAGAGGTATACATACTATATGGCCTCCATTCTAATAGCGATGGCCTCCAACCTACTAGGGATGGCCTCCATCCTAATAGAGGCACTTCTTGCCAAACAAGGTGCGGGCTTCGGACTTTCTCTTGGCCTTTGCAAAGAAGTTGCTCTTCTTCAGTGGTGTGACGATGTACCTTCTCAGTCACGTTGCAATTGCGTCTCGATGCTGAGTTTGCTCAACGTGGCGCCCAAGAGGTCTGACTCAAAAGGTTTCTCCATATCAGATTTGGGAACGAACCCTCCTACTTTTTGAAGTGAAGGGCAGAATCAAATGACAACGTAAGGTGTTTTTCTTCAGTTCCCAGACAGGCTGGCCAACAGGCTGGGCTCCCGCGCATCTGAATCGCGATGAGCATATCCCGTTTGAAGACGATGTCTGCATTGAAGCGCATAAAAAATGCGAAAAACACCTCAAAGGTCGTCGCATGTCGCGCTGCGAGCTGTCGCGCACGTGTCACGCGGCAACGGGCGGTAGTCTTTCGGCATGAGAGGTGAGGCGCATTGTTTCGACATTGGCATGAGAGCTACTAGTAACAAGGACGCTATTTAGGTGGAGGCTATCGCAAGTAGGTTGGAGGCCATCGCTACTAGTGACAAGAAACTACTAGTAGCTCCTGGCATTATTACCTAGGAACAAGAACCTACTAGTAATGAAAGGTCTGACCATGCCAAGGCCTTTGACTCCAGATAGTCATCATGGCGTCTGGAAACTACCAATGGATTCTCGGAGACACTGTTCGAGATCGAAAGTTGCTCCTAATCCACAAAAATGACGGTCCAAGACCCATCTCAGTCCAGTTTTTACATCAGTATAAATTGACGAAGGCACCATAAGGTTAACACGGCTTTTGACATTTCTGGTCCGAAAGTAGCAAAACCCCTTGCATACCCCCCCGGCAAACGCTGAAAATGCCCAAAACGCTTGGCAACCCCCCCCCGGCAAGTTTTTTTGAGAAGACAACACCACGGCAAAGTTGTGAGAAAACCCACATGAACCGTTGCCGCCCTTTTGGGTCTTGCATCAAATCTTGCCGGCGACTTTTGCCACCACTTTTGGCCATCAGATGAACCTTTGCCACCCACTTTTGCCGCCCTTTTTGGGCTTTGCATTGAACTTTGCCGGCAACTTTTGCTTCTGACCAAATTCCGCCACCCACTTTTGCCACCCTGTTGTTCCGCGAAATCCTCACCGTGTTAACCTTACGGTGCCTATATCAAAGTATAAATAAGAATGAAAAGAACTACTTCACTTCGAGTGGTCCCCACCATGACATTTCAATCCGACCATTTTTCTGGCGTGTATTGAGACATTATTTCGGCATTCTTTCTGGCACATTCTGCTGCTTGTCAGATGTGACTGACATTCTTGCAATAAAGCGGCGCGCCGCCAGTCAGGTGTCTGGTCCGGTAAAGGCAAAGGAAGAAGAGGTGTACAGGACACGCAACAGAAATATGTTCTTAGACATATATTGTGACATTCTATCTCGAAAATACTCTCAAATTCTACTTGCCATATTGTCTGGGATGTTGGTGGTTGTGTGTGTGTGTTAGTGGTTGTGTGTTTGTGTTTGTGGTTAAGTCTTTGTGGTTGTGTGCTGTGGTTGTGCGTTGTGGTTGTGTGCTGTGGGTGTGTCTTTGTGTTTGTCATT